CTAGGTGTACTTAATGCTTAACTCTCAACTTTACACCTACTGCCTACTGTACAGTATGTAACACAACACATTGCAAACAACAGTGGAACATTTCCTGTTTAATTTGAGGATAGCCTCACTCTTCACATTTTTTAGTACAACAGTTTACTTTTTAGTGACATTACCTTAGGACTGGATTTCAGATCATCCAGCTCGAGGAATATCTTTTGAAACACTTCAAAAGTGTTTTTCAGTTCTTTTGGGTAGCTGAGGTTGAGTGCATATATCAGCCCCATTAGCAAGGCACAGGCTCTGGGTACATCCAGGTCTGCTAGGACTTCTGTTCCTTCAAGTATGATCCTTGCGCTGGCTGGATCAGACGTTATGGCACCTCTGGTTACAATCTTCATCACTTCATTGGTAATATCCCCGCCACCATCCTGGTAGGTCAGAATCAATATAAATGTTTTAAGTAATCATACTTATACATGAGAGTAACACAAAATAGGGCTGCAACTAACAATTTTCTCGATTATCTGATTAGTTGTTTGGTCCAGAAAATGTCAGAAAATGGTGAAAAATGTCAATGTTTCTCAGAGCCCAATATGATGACCTCAAATGTCAAACATATTCAGTTTGCTGTCATAGAGGAGTAAAGAAACCAGAAACCATTCACATTTATGAAGCTAAAACCAGAGAATTTGGACTTCTTTTTCTTAAATAATTACTCAAACCGATTAATCAATTATCAAAATAGTTGCCGATTAATTTAGAAATCAATTAATAATAGATTAGATCGTAGCTCTAACACAAAGTATAGTCATGTCTGATTTACCTGCTCTTTGAAGAGATCCTCCTCCTTTTCCCTGAGATACACCACTAAGCCACGGATAGCGACCTCTCGCCTTCTCTCCACAGAATCGTCCTGTGAATAAGAAAAAGAATGTCGAACTGCTCTTCGAGGAGGATGGGTTTTTGATAATTACATCCAAAAAAAAAAAAAAAAAGGATTGACTTTATATGGCCTGAACTGTACCAATTATAGATTTCCAGTGATAATCAAAATAATGAATTGATCATTTCAAAGACAGCCATTTCTCTGAAATGATCAATTCATGAACTTGAAAAATCCAGGTAACAAATAGAAAAACTGCAAAATCTTGCAAATTACTCTGCCTATCATGATCCACATCACCTATAATTTGTTTTATTATTCAGTATTTATAGTTTTAATTGATATTTGTGCCTCAAGCTCTAAACAATAATTTGACACAGTTGAGTTGTAAACAGCTACCTTTTAAGACTCAATATCACCTATTGGGAAAAAAAAAGTGGATTATCCTATTTGAAATAAACTACATTTCATTCATTCATACCTCTAGCAGCATGTTCTGGATGCGCTGAATGCGCATTTTTGCAGCCCCTCCTCTTGAGGACAGCAAGGACGTTATTTTCTGAGAGTACTGGTCCAGCTTTGCCATGAATGTTGTCTCCAGGTTAACAGTGGTGATCCTTCTGAATTCTTGGTTTATCTGTATAAAAAAAAGGCACAAATAGGCACAACATGTTAATGTATACAATTTACTTTAAAAGAATATACTGCAAATTATCTTATGGAAAAATATTTACCTGAACTGCATCAAAAAGAGCAGGCCATCTTTCTTTCAGGTCATTGATTTTTGGTGCTTGATTGACAACTTCCTGCCTGCGAATGGAGAATGTCTTCGCCATTTTTTCACTGATGATCTGACAGTTGTCCCTCTTCCTCACTTCACTGAGGAGCTCCACTCTTTCATATTCCAAACTTTCTTCCATTTCTCCTTGTGGGTGAGGAGGTAAATAGTTCACTTCTGACTTCTTTGGCTTTTTGACATTCTTTGCAGGTGCTTTCTCATGTAGTCGCTTCTTTCTGAGAGAGTTCACATCAAGTTCAGGGCATCCGAGCCCTCTCAACTTGGTTCTATAGTTGGCCATTTTATATTTATGTTTCCAAATCAAAGATATTTTTTCTTAAGTGATACAACTGCGCTTATGTATCTGCAGTTAACACCCAAAAGAGCAAAATTATATTTTATGTGCTAATGCACACTCAATGTAATGTCATTAAAACAACTAGTTTATGAATGTTACTTAAGATCTTTCCTGTGGCGTTTCTACAATGGCGTTCCCTTCCTCGCCCGCGTTTTTAGACTGAACTTTGACACAGGCTGTTCTTCAGCTAGGGCTCAATTAACAAACTTCAATCTCACATAAAAATAACTCTAGGACTTAAACATCAAAATGCATCGATGTTCGATGTTAAACCGAATGTATACTCAGTAAGCTACATTTGTTTAGTCATGAATGTAAAACGGCCCAGCCTTTTGCTGGTCAAACCTATATCAACGCTGCAACGATTTCAAAGTAGAAAGAAGCAAAACGTGTATTACCCTGTCTTTGCAGAGTTAAAACTACTGCTACAGAAGTTCAGTGTCAATTAACACCATTCGGCTGCCACCGTAAAACAAAACTTAACAAAGACTAATGTTACGGTCGAATTACTTCACCAGTTAGCCAGAAGTGTAACGTTACTAGCTTAAACATCACCACCACTCGCCGAGGAAAAGTTTAGTGTTGTATAAAAAGGATTTCTTGCAGTGCGTGTTGATAGAGTTAAAGTTAGAGTTATTAGCTGCTGTGAATAAAACAAGGCAAAAAATTGTACTCACCACCAAGCTTTAACGTTTGATAATGTTCCGTACAAAATAGCGCTTCTCCCGCTTTCTCACTTTGCCTCCGTTTCTTTCGATCAGCGGTCTGAGAGCACAACATGTCCGGGCAAGTCAGCCTTGTACTCAGCTTTTAAAGGACGCTTACGAGATTTTTAGTTGTATTAACTG